GGTTCTTGTTTTCATTTGGAAATTAAGCATGACCTAAGGAGATATGACTGTGTATCAATTTAACAATGGGTGATGGCTAGTCTTGGTTGTCAATTTGACTATATCTGGAATTAACTAAAATCCAAGTGGCTAGGTACACCCGTGAAGGATTTTCCTTTTTCTTTCATTCTTTCTTCTTTTCTTTTTTCTTTCTTTCTTTTTTCTTAGCTTTTTGAGATGGGGTTTCTGTGGAGCTCTGTTGGAATTCCCTCTGTAGACCACACTGGCCTCAAACTCCGAGATCTGCCTGTCACTGCCGCCCAAATGTTTACATTAGGAAAGATACACATTTAATCCAGATCTCTTGAGGTGGGAAGATCCACCTTTAATCTGAGCCACTCCTGCTGGTAGCCTACATAAAGAACATGGAAGGGGGAAGCTTGCCCCCTTTGCCTGCTTGCTCTTGATCTCTCTAACCAGTCTACTCCTTCCCTGGCATTAGAGCCTACTTCAAGATTCCAGAATATACTGAAGACCAGCTGAGACATCTAGCCTTTTTTTCTAATTTTTTTTAATGTATACAATATTCTGTCTGCATGTATGCCTGCAGACCAGAAGAGGGCACCAGACCTCATTACAGATGGTTGTGAACCACCATGTGGTTGCTGGGAATTGAACTCAGGACCTTTGAAAGAGCAGGCAATGCTCTTAACCGCTGAGCTACCTCTCCAGCCCAGACATCTAGCTTTATGGACTGAACAACTAGTAGATTCTTGAACCTTCCATTGGTAGACAACCATTGTTAAACTAGTTGGACCCCAATCCGTAAGCTGTGTATACACACACATACATATTTATATGTATATAAATATGCACATGTATATGTATACATATATGCAAATACACATATTTATTCTGTAAGTTCTCTTCCTCCAGAGAACCCCGACTAATACAAATGGGAAGTGGGATATCACAATACCTCTTCTATAACAGCTTTTTTCTCCCCTTGAAGTATTTGTCTGATGGTGGCCACCAGCTTCAGGGGGTCCCTCTGATAGATGCTCTATAGAATTGAAAGTGATTAGCAGTTAGCCTCACTCTTATACATGCTCTCCCCCAATTCCTTGTCCCCACTCATGTATACACTGGCAGAGACCATAACTGTAGACTCTCAAGCATCATACATTTGCATGCTTTAAGAACCGATTTGCATGCCAGCGAATGCCTAACCTCAGGAGTACCATTTGCTTTCAACATCTTCCATCCGAGCAGTTTTCTTCCTGTACCCAGCGCTCACTCCAGCTCTACCTTGACCCCACTCCAACCTTTTCCCTTCCCCTCTTGTCCTACCTCCAGGGTGCTGATGTGCTGCAAAATGGTGCTTCCTTTCCCCTGCTCCCCTGCAGAGCTCTGAAGTTTCTGGACAGTGGCTGAAAGCAGGGCACTAGCCATGTTGTAGCAGAAGGTATCTGAACCAACCAGGAACTCCCTGTGGGAACATCATCATCGATCTCAAGCCAGGGCTTCCTCGGTGCTTCTGAGCTTCCATTCTACAGTGAAGAACCCAGTGGTTCTTTCCCCTCTCCTTCCTCTCCAGACAGTTCTCTGCAGCTGTCCCCCATGCCTCCCGCTCCCACTCTGTGCTGGCTCCATGCCAAGCCTAGGCTATTACCTATACACTAACGAGTCCTCAATCCTGAATTCCATCAGAAAGGGCTCTAAAGAGAGGGAAGATACATAAGGGACTCACCAGGGCTGCTTCTCCAGCCAGTCAGCCAAGAGATGCCGAAGGTGTTGGGGAAAGTCAACGTAGAGTCGTTGTAGTTTTTCTGGGGACATCTTGGAAACCAGACTCCACAGAGACATGATCTGGGGTGTGAAAGGTGCCTAGGAGAGAAGAGCAAGGCCATTCAAAGAGGTCCCCAGAAACTCAGCCTAGCTTCTGAGGCATCCGCAGCATTTCCACATAGATGGTCCTGCCAAGAACTTACTTCAGTTTTGCTGAGCCTAGAACAGTGCATCTTTCCAGAGCTTAGATTTATTCTAGTTTCTCAGGGTCAAGTCTCAGAGTTGAGTGAGGACGTGGGGGCATCACAATCTTTCTTCCCGAACAGCCTTTTTCTTCTCCCGTCATTTGGTCATACCCGCTGCCAGGGCGCCTTAAGTCACAGGCTCCCTTGGCCAGTGCCTGAAACAGGGCAATACCTTCCATAGTAGACATGGGCAAGCTGAAGAAATACAGCCAGAAGGGCGAGGTGACAAGAAGACACGAGACAGAAGAGAAAGAGCATACTCAGGGAAGACGGGATCTGCTCTGGATCTGGGGGTAAAAAGACTACACTCTAAGGATCCTGATCACGAAATATGAGGGCTGAATGCATAGAGCACTTTCTAAACCTTTGTTTTAAGAAATCTGGCTCTGTGGACCAGTTTGTTCTTGAGCTCCTGAGCTCAAGAAATCCTTTCACCTCAGCCTCCCTCGTGCTGGGATTGCAGGTTCACGCCTCCATGCCTTTGCTGTTTCTAAACATTTGAAAGCGCTAAACAATTTTGATTCAAGGGGTACTGTGAGCAAACTTGGGGCCTTGTATGTGCTAGGCAAGTGATCTGAGTACATCAGAGGACCTTCCTATGTAGGTCAGGCTGGCCTCAAATTCAGAGAAATCTGCCTGCCACTGCCTCCTGGGTGCTGGGATAAAGGTATGTGCCATAAGATCCTCCGGTCTCTACGTCCCAACTGCTAGGGCTACTGACATGTACCACTGCACTTGACTCCAAGCCTAGTTTTTAATCTGTGTGACACCAGTGTCCGGAAGAGACACTCCAAGACATCATCTGAATACCCGAGACCATGGATAGGGCCTAAAACAGCATGTAACATCTACTCTTGTATCTATTATATTCTCTCCCATATATATCTATACAAAGTTTAATACATAAGTTGGATACATAAAGAAATTAACAACAACAGAATAAACTTACAACATGCTATAATAAAAGTTGTTTAAAAGTCACAAACTGTTTTTTCTGGTATTTTCCATTTCATATTCTCAGAGTGCTGCATACTGCAGGTAACTAAAACCATGGAGAGCAAAACCCTAGGGAGGGAGGGGTGCAAAGCACAGCCGAAGGAAATGTGGACGGCAGGGCAGCAAGTCCACTGGGTCTACTCCCTTTCGCCCTTCCTCCCAACCCCAAAGGGGTCCGTGGAAAACTTTCAAAATTCTAAGATCCTAGGGAGCAACCTGAAAGACACTGCCGTGGGAAGACGCCTGCCTAGCATTTGTAAAATGTCTGAAAGTTCAATGCCCAACACTGCAAAAATCACCAAGCTCAATAATGGCGATGATAGCAGAGCGGTAATGACTAATAGTTATTATGCACTATTCCATAGATACATCATACTCAACACATCAGCTCATTGGAACCTCATAACCACACGTGTGTGTGTGTGCATGCACATGTATGCACATGCACGTGTGTTAGGAAAGAAGCGAAGGGCCTCATGCACGCTACACAAATGCTCTGTCCCTGAGCTACATCCCTGTCCCCTTCCCACAGTTGTTTTAGTTTTTATTATCTAATGTTAATGGGAGTTTTGCCTGCACGTATGTAAACTGGAGTTACACACAGCTGTGAGCTGCCATGTATGCCTGGGAATCAAACCCAGATCCTTGGGAGAGCAGCCAATGCTTTTAACTACTGAGCCATCTCTCCAGCCCTATTTTAAAGTGTGAAATTATCCCTTTTCCTAGATGAAGAAACTAAGGCTCAGGAGGTTATTCAACTTGGCCAAGGCCACTGGGCAAGGAGCTGGTAATTGGGCTCAGGATCTCCGTAAGGATCAGTCACTATACTGTGCTGTTAGGATTCTTTCTGGCTCAGAAACCCAATCACCTCAAGAAAATAGAGAGGGTAGGAAGAATGGGAAGGGGAACAGGGAGAGGGAGAGTAGAGAAACAACAGGGTTGGCCGACCTGGAGGGAAGAGTTAGGCAACCAGAGAACCAAAAACCAGAGGAAGAGGAGAGAAAAGCGAGAGAGGAGGTAGGCGCTGGCAGAGAGAGCTAGCTCCTTACTTTCCCAGGGGCCTCAGAGTGGACTGGGTAGACCAGTGGTTTCCCAGGGGGCTCTCAGTTCACATTTCTCATAGTGTCCTCTCAGAGAGGAAGAGGAGGAGGAAGAGAGATGGAAACTCCCTGGGTGTCCCCAAGTCCCCCTGCTGTTTGAGCCTCTCAACTCCCCCAGGGCTTCCAGATGGAAGACAAAGAGGCCCCTTCTCAGGACACTGCTACCCCTAAACATCTTGTTTCTCTCTCTCCCTCTGACTCCAAGAGCCCTCACTACCGCTCAGGGTCCTCCACCAGAGACTTTTTGTCCTAATACTGTCTACCCCTTTGGGTGGGGCATCCTGAGGAATACCATTCAGTTTATTTTCAAATTTAAGGAAGAATTCTGTCTTCCTCCTAGTCTCTGGAGTGCTCAGATTCCAGACCTTTGGCCCAATCCTTACCCTCCTGGGGACTGGGGACCTCCAAGCCACAAACAGCTCCCATTTCCTCTAAAACCCCATACAGATTGACTCAAGTCTCACCCTCCTCCCTCCCCAGACACCATGTAACCATGTTTCTCCCCTGCGCACCCAGTAACGGTACAGGGTCTACAGGTCGGGCCTGGACACTGACACCGTTTGCGTTCAGTACCCTACTGAGGGAAAGAAGGAAGGCGGAGCCACACTGCAAGAGGCGGGGCCAGCGTTCCCTTCTAGCTCCCCCCCCCCCCACCTCCGCGGTAGGGGAAGCCCAACAGCCCAGAATCTTCTTCATAAGCTTGGTAGCCCAAGTCCTTCCCTATCTCCTCTTCCCCTGCATTCTGAGTCCACCGACCGAGGAACCCCAATAGCAAAAGTCAAGGTTTTCTCTGAGTTGCCCAATGTGTGTGTATACGGCGGTGGCGGTGGCAGTGGGGGCGGGAAAGGGCGCGGGGAGGTGGAGCCAGGTCAGCACGAGGAGGGTTAACCCCCGGCCGGCCGCCCTCCCACGGGGAAATCTCAGCGTTTTCTGCAGCCAAGCGAGCCGTGTGAGGGGGAAATTCCCCCTCCTCTGGGACACCATGAGGTCTGCATCTGGGTCTCGCTCACCCTCCAGCCACACCCTGAACAGGAACCTTTAGCGGGCAGCAGCTAGGGCATGAACAGGCTCGGGGCCCTGGAGCATCAACTTCTAGGGAGGGGCAGCCACGTTCCCCCGCACCCAAAGGGCCCTCCTTCCCCTCTGCCCCGCGACTTTCCACGTCTCAGGAGGTGCCGGGCTGAGCGTTGGGGAAAGTGACGTGACGCGCTGGGGAGGGGAGTGTGGAGGCCTGTACCCACCCGAATCCTTCGAAAGTTGGAAACTGCCGAAACCCCGTACTACCAGCTACTAACACCAGCAAACAATTTACAGGGGACCAAGCGCCCCGCCCAGGGGAGGATCCCGAGAGGCCCCGAAAATCCATTCCTCACGTTTAATCAAAGGTCCCCCCACCTTCCTCGCCCGCAGACATCCCCCTCACCTTGGCAGCCCCTCTGCTATCTTCTCCCTCTCTCAGCGGGCACTGCCAGGCCCCATGGATCTGTAGCGCTGTCCAGCGGGTCCTGGGCTGGCCCTAAAAACTCAATGTGTACACTCACACACACACACACATAAACACACACACACAAACACACGCACGCAGGCACTCGGATCCCGGCCTTCCTCTTCACAGTAAACCCTGGCTGCCCCGGCCTGCTGTTTCCGGCTTCTCTGTCTGCCCAGGTCCCTCCCTGGAGCTCTGACGACACAGAGAAGAGAAAGTGGGCTGGAGGAGGAAGAGGAAGAAAGTGGGGTGAACATGAATGCCTCCCGGTGCCCGGTGGGGAAGCACGTAGTGGGGAGGGCAGAGCTGTAGTTCCACTGAGTCACGCTGGTAGGAGGCTGACCTTCACGTACTCTAGCCCCCTGAGCAGTGATCCGTTTTTTCCTCTGGAGAGTCACCTAATAGCTGGGAGAGGCATGCCACTCTAAACTGCCTAGCTACCACATAAACTTTCTCTGGGTCAGGGGTTGGGACCCCTAGGGACTGGGCATCTGGTCCCACTGGGCTGTGCGCTCCCTCCAGTGGAGGACCCTGAGAAGCAGCCCGGAGCTTGAGGCCCCGAAGAACTAGGTTCACCTCCTTCCTAGGCGGGAACGCCTTAGAGGTCCCGTGACGCTGTATGGAGGAAGTGGGGGAGGGGAACCCTTAGCTCAGAGTTCTGGAAGACTCCCAGAGGTACTTGGAGGACAAGGGATTCGCACGGGGTACCATGCCTCAGGCTCTAGCGATGGCCACTGAGGGCTGCCAGAAGATTCCTAGGGGGCCAAGATGGAGTGTGAATACACTTTGCAACCTTAGCAAAGTTCCTGTCTGTTTTTGGGGTAAACACTGAGACACACCCCAAAACAAACATGTACAATTTCCCTAGCCACAAGACCACACACACACACACACACACGTTCACACATGTAGCGGCACGTTCACACACATGTCAGCACTCAGGGCCACTTACAGTCACACACGCACACGCACACACACACACACACTCACAAACGCTTGCGTGCGTACGTACACACACCCCTTGCTCAGCTTCTGAGTCACCCACCCATCATAATTAGAGGATTGTTCTGTAGTTTTTGCTGGAGGAGGATAACAAGGGACCCAAACCTGACCGTCAAGGAGTGTGTGGAAGGATGGTGTCTGAGGGCGGCTGTGTCAACTTAGAATTTTTGGCTCTCCTGTTGCCTTTCAGGACTGGACTGAAGAGCCAAAACCAGTCTTATGCTGCCCCCTGGTGACGAAAATTATCCTCCCCTGCACATTTGCGGGCACTGGGCACAGCGCACATACGTAGACCTGTCTGCAAATGGTAGGAACAAACTGTACATCCAGCATAGTCGTGGACTCTGAGCAGGGACTCTTTGTGTTCAAGTCCTGCCAAAGTGGCTAACTGAAAAACTGACTGTTTTATTATCTGTAAAATGGAGCCCACAAGGGTAACGTCGCCCCTGCAGTTGAGAATAAAATACTTGGAGCAACGCTGACCTATCGTAAACAGCAGGCACTAGGCACTTTGGTTGTTGTTGCTTAATTATTTGCTTGGGTATATGTACTTGATATTGTTGTTGAGATAAGGACTCCTTAGCCCAGACTGGCCTTGAAATTGCCACTTAGTCAAGGGAACACTTGAACCGCATCCTCCCAAGCGCTGGCCTTGGATTCCTGGGGTGCTAAGAATTGAACCCAGGGCTTTTTACATGCCAGGCAAGCATTCTACCAAGTGAGCCACACCCGCAGTCCAACACATATTGTTTGATTGTCTTTAATGTGTGTGGATATGTTGTTTGCATGTGTGTGTGTGCCATGTGCAAGTTTAATATTCTCAGACGCTAGAGGAGGCATCGCATCCCCTAGAACTGGAGTTGCAAATCGCTGTGTACTACCAACATGGGTCTTGGTAATCAAA